ATAAAGTAATCATCAAAAATAAACAGGCCAAACATACTAGTGATGACAATGATGACGAAGAAGTTGACTCAGAACTTGGAGAATTAGAACAAGACTCTCAAAATACTGAGATGGATATAGACGAGACTGAAATATTAGAAAGTCTTGATATGAGTGCTAAATAAGCACTTGAATCATCTCGCTTGATGAGTTCTTCATGCACAACTTTCTCTACAACATTAAACAAAAACGAATAAAATTTAAAATGGGCACGGGTATACCGAATTATGTTCGTATTAATATAAACTAATGGGCGCGGATTTTCCGAGTATGTCTTACCTCTTCGTACAGGATGGACTCTATGCGCCGAAGAGGAGAAACATGAAAACGATTTTTCTATATCATGGCCAATAATCCTGTTTTTAGAACGTAACTAGATAATTACTAGAGGCCCCTGTGAAGGGTTGAACTCAAGGGGGGAAAGCGGGACTCTGGAGTGCGTACTCCCACTGTACTATCCTGTTCTTCCACTGTTCCCCCCCTGTACCTCCTCTGTGCTCCCCTGTACTTCCACTGTACTCCCCTGTACATCCACTGTACTTCCACTGTACTCTCCTGCACCTTCACTGTGCTCCCCTGTACTCCCCTGTACTTCCACTGTACTCTCCTGTACCTTCACTGTGCTTCCCTGTACCTCCGCTGTACTCCCCTGTACCTTCACTGTGCTTCCCTGTACCTCCGCTGTACTCCCCTGTACCTTCACTGTACTTCCCTGTACCTCCGCTGTACTCCCCTGTACTATCCTGTACCTTCACTGTCCTCCCCTGTACTTCTACTGTACTATCCTGTACCTTCACTGTGCTCCCCTATACCTCCACTGTACTCCCCTGTACCTCCCCTGTACTTCCACTGTACTCTCCTGTACTCTCCTGTACTCTCCTGTACCTTCTCTGTGCTCCCCTGTACCTCCACTGTACTCTCCTGTACCTCCCCTGTACTTCCACTGTACTCTCCTGTACTCTCCTGTACCTTCACTGTGCTTCCCTGTACCTCCACTGTACTCCCCTGTACTATCCTGTACCTTCACTGTGCTCCCATTTACTTCCACTGTACTCCCCTGTACCTCCCCTGTGCTCCTCTGTACTCTCCTGTACCTCCACTGTTCTCCCCTGTATTTCCACTGTATATCCACTGTACTCCCTGTACTTCCACAGTACTCTCCTGTGCTCTTCTGTACTCTCCTGTACCTTCACTGTTCTCCCCTGTACCTTCACTGTATTTCCACTGTATATCCACTGTACTCCCTGTACTTCCACTGTACTCCCATTGTATTGTGGGAATACGGGAGTCTTGCCTTTTCCCCCTTGGTTGAACTTTAATATTACCGGAAAAATTTAATATTATAGGAGAAATTGATTTAATTTACATAAGAAGTTCCTGAATGAAAAATATAATATAGATGACTGACATATATATGCATAATGAATGGACATATACGATGTATATCTATATCTATATATAATGAATGAACATATACGACGTACAGATTTATGTATATTTTTTTTTTCGTTCTATGACCAATCATATGAAAGTTCCTGAAGAAGAAAACTTGTACAATATAATATAGATTTTCATCATACTGTAACGGCTCAGAAAATACATACGAAAATGAACATATACTTGAATTAAGAACTTATTGTTATTTAAAAAGAAAGATATAGTCTGAGATTTTTTCTCATTCTTTTTGACTTACGTTACCTTTTAGTTCACTTTCATAAAGCAATAAATAGATGATACTTTCTTTATAGATATATTTGATTTTGGAGTTTTTAAGATGATAACATCTGATGTTACCTCAGAAGAGGTACGAAAAATATTTAAAGGAAAAAAGGTACTCATCATTGGAGATTCGATCTGTAGAGGAATCTACAAAGATCTCTGTTGCTTATTAAGCGGAAAAGACCGATTATTAAGTATTGATGAATTACGTTTCAACAGACGTATTAACAATTTGCACAATCATTGTATATCTTAGGAGGACGAAACTCGTACGAGTTTGTACGGTTGAACTTACGCGGCGCACTTCCATCATTATCTACCTTAAACCTTAGTCTTGAGAAAGCTGGTGCGTGCATTGGTGAAGCCGAGTTTCGATATGATGCACTTAATCACCAACATAATTCTTTAAACTATCAGATCGCCGTTTGTTCAGAGGACTCGACAGCACTCGTAAATAGCGGCGGATCCAGGATTTTTCAGTATGCTGGATTTCACTTTCAGACTATGGGACCCAGATGAAATTTATAGAGGTATGATATTGGAATCAAATGATGAGTTTTTATTAAAGGATTTTTGTAATGGGAGTTTGCGAAAAAAATTAGCATTTTCCTGAGCTCCCCAAGATTTTTCTTTCGCAGTTAGGGGTATCTTGTTTTTTAGAATTTAATAGTAAGCTACATCGAAATTCATCGACAGATTTCAAATTTCATCTAAAAATATGCATCCGCTCACGAGTTATAATGTTTTGAATTTTTTCTAAAATTTTAGCACCATGCAACAAATTTTCATAACATTATAACTCGTGAGTGGATGCATATTTTTAGATGAAATTTGAAATCTGTCGATGAATTTTGATGTAGCTTACTATTGAATTCTAAAAAACAAGATACCCCTAACTGCGAAAGAAAAATCTTGGGGAGCTCAGGAAAATGCTAATTTTTTTCGCAAACTCCCATTACAAAAATCCTTTAATAAAAACTCATCATTTGATTCCAATATCATACCTCTATAAATTTCATCTGGGTCCCATAGTCTGAAAGTGAAATCTAGCATACTGAAAAATCCTGGATCCGCCGCTACTCGTAAAGAAAGTTAGTTATAATGCTGCTACTAACACATTTGGTGGATTCGCGACTCCACTCGAAAATGGTATTCCTAAATCTGGTTATTTTAAGACAGATTCTTTTGATGTGTTAAAAGACTGGTTCGAGAATAAAGATAAGTCAAACTATTTAAATGTTCATATGATGCAACCGCTCATTGAATCTAAACCATATACCTCACCATTCCTGCTTGCCGCATATGGGATCAGTAACAAATTTAAAGCCATTGATATTCTTAATCAATGGATATGGATTTTTGAAAAGTCTCAAGAGTCAAACGTTCGTATTGTTGCTTTTTCTACGGATTGCGATCCAAGATACTTGTTAGCAATGCGTCTGAATACAGGTTTTTTTGCAAAACTTACTAATACTCCGTTGTATAATCGTAACGATATGTTAAAGATCCATTTACCAAAGGATTGGTCAGGATGGTTTTTTATGCCTTCCCATCAAGTTTTTTTTTGTTTTCAAGATCTCATACATTTATGTGCTAAACTCCGTAATCGTATGCTTTCGGAAATCGCATCACTTTTGATTGGAAAAGGAGAAGTTTCCATTAAAGTACTGAATGAACTTATAGAAACTAAATCGAAGTTTGTACATGGACTTGTAAAAAGTGATATAGAGCCGAGCGACAAGCAAAACTATAAGTCTTGCCTCAAGATTCTGAATGAGGAAGTAATCAATGCTCTTGAAGACATTGATGGTTCTTTAGCCACACAAATTTATTTGTGCCTCTTGCGTAGTATAGCACTCGCCTATATTGACCATAATACATCGATAATCGATTGCATCTATCATAGTTGGCTAGCAGTCTTTATATGCCGTATATGGCAAACCTGGCTGCATTTAGTACATAAAGAAGACATTTCAGAATCTCATTCTCAAATGTCAAAAGAGAATTTATTTATTACTATTCCTGCTCATTTTTCTATAGAAATGAATGCTCATAGCCTAGTTACAATTTGTTTACTTGTGCATCAGCAAGATTTGCCCATTTCTGCTCTTAGGTTTTCAAATTATCACTCATAGTCTTGCGAAGCAACTTTTCGTAACTCAAGATCAATGTCAGGTGTTTTTTCTACTGTAGTTAATTTTACTACTGAACAGTTTCTTAAACGAGCTGGTAAACTATCAGTACTTGCTGATATACAAAATCAGAGTAAATCTGGTCAGTTAAGCTGTTCTTTAGAGTTTCCTAAGCATCCCAAGCGATGTCGACAAAGTGCTGCTTCTAAAAACGTAGTTCTGAGTGCGTCTATCCATCTTCTCACTTATGATAATGTTAAAAAAACAATTTGTCAAGCATATGATGATGCTTATGATCTACTATCTAAGCTTGATGTTCATATTGCTTTGAAGAAAGCAAAAAAAACTGAAATGATTCAAGTGAGCTCCTTTGTACGAGCTCAGTTTGATAGAAAATTTAAAAAGGTCTCCTACGATGATGATGAATCGTATTTATCTGATAATAATGAATCAAGCTATAAATTCAGATCGGATATCAATACTGCAGCGGACTTAGATGATGATAGTTCATGTGATGATGAAACTGAAAATGTGTCTTCAATTTCAGCTAGTGGTAAATCTCAGTTTCATGGAATGAGAGTGTGCGACACTATTCCTTCCTCACTTGCGAAGTCCTACTTTCGTGTTGAACTTGATGGGAAAAGAAAATATATTCACAAACAGACAGCCTGCTGGCTTTTAACAGATACTAATAATCGTTTGTCAGCTGATCGACTTAGACGAGTTCAACAAAGCAGTTCTTAGATTAATAAAAAGCTTGTAAGAAATACTTAGAAATATTTTGACATGATCAACTTCTGCTATTTTTTATTGCTTCATGTTTCTTTTATTGATATTTCATAGTTCGCTTTTCCTCTATGTGATAAAAAAACCAAAATTCTCTAATGTGTCAGTTGACTTGATACCAATCTTATTACAAGATGTATCTAAACTTCGCATATCAGTAGATGTTTTTTTTTAAATTGACTCTAGTATTTTTCAGGGCTTATAATTGCCTGTCAAATTCATGGTAATGAATATCAAAGAGAAATAGAGCAGTGAACACGGGTTTACCGAAAGAGATTCACATGAAAAGAAAATAGTAGGCACGGGTTGCCCGAAAAATGCCTAAAAATCAATGTATGGATGCGGGTTTACCGAGTATCATCCGAAGCAAAAATAGGTATAAATAGGTACGAGTATTCCGTATAAAACTTGTCTAAATTGTTTCAATCCATTTTGAATTTTTAAATTAAAACCACGCATAGCGAACAAATAAGGATGCGGGTTTTCCGAATACACATCCACCTCTTCGGAGTAGGATGGGCTCTACGTGCCGAAGAGGAGAAACACTGTCTGAAAGTAGTGGCCAACAATCCTGCATCTTTTGGTCAATCGCAAAATTAAGAAATAAAAGAGTTATGTTAATAAAAACAGTAAATTAAAGAAAGTTGGATCTTCTGATCTATTGTTTTAGTTTTCTGTTATTTTTAGATACAATGAGGAACCCGCAAGTATGGTGGGAATTCCGGAAATTTTTTGGAGAATCCTTTGGGAATCCTGGAAATCCTATGGGAATCTCGGGAATCCGGTGGGAATCCCGGGAATCCCATGGGAATCTCGTGAATCCGGTGGGAATCCAGGGAATCCAGGGAATCCCATGGAAATCCAGGGAATCCAGGAAATCCCATGGGAATCCCGGGAATCCCGAGGGAATCCTGGAAATCTTGGGAATCCCGGGAATCCGGAATCCGCCGTTTCCCCCTTGTCGAAAACTGTATCTTAATGCAAGCAGCTTTTCCTAAAATTTCCCTCATGCAGATAGACACAAACTAAAATTTTATAAATAGAAAATTGAGAGGGAAGGGGTCAAATTTTAATACGAGATATTTAGGAGTGATATACAAACGTTTTAGTGTATTTCTACATGTTGCCGATTCCGAATATCAGACTTACTTTTCATGAAAAAAAACAATATTTGATCGTAATGGTTTCAGCTGTTGTAAAGCGTGACTCCGATTCGAAAGCTAGAAATGTTCTTTTTCTTCATGTTTTCTTTTCATTTGTTTCTTGTTTGAGATTTGAACGATGATTAGTTTATTATAACAATAGACAGTATATAGTACGATTCATTTCTATTTGTTCTTGGTCATTTTGTTGTTTTATACTCAATTTTCATATTAACCTGTACATAGATAAAAACTATGATATCAACTCGAAGAGCTCAATCAAATGAAACCAATTTTCAAATGAAATCATTGATAACTTAGTGTTCAAATTTTCCAGCATACACATTTCGCTCTTGTTATCTGGTCACTGTTTTCAGGTACTCGCACATAGCGATATGCATTAAACGAAACACCACAAAGTCTAATCACGATTTCACTCTAGAAAGCTCATACAATAGCATTTGAACACATTCAAATACTTGAAGTTTTCAACGATTTTATTTGAAAATTGGTTTTCTTTAAACAAATTCTTCAAGTTGTTATTATGACGTTCGTATATTTACAGATATGCACTATAAAAGCTAGTTACTTTAAAGAAGAGATAATCAAAGATCTTGACTCGAAAATT